TCAGTTTAGGAGACCTGGTCAGCATGGATGACATAGGCCAAAGGGCCTGCTTCCATGCTGTATGACTCTATGACTTGATAAGCCATGCTGACTCTGCTTGATCTTACTATTTCTAAATGTTTTGCTATTATATCCTTTATAGTAGACATTAACATTTTCCCTTATAAACATAAAGCCAACTGATCAATAGTTACCTGCTTTGGTCTCCTTCCTTTGTTTAATTCTGAGACTTTTCCAGAATTTAAGGATTCCTGGAAGATTACTACAAGTGCATCTCCTATCCCTGTAACTAATCCCTTTAATATCCTAGGATGCACCCCATCAAGTCCAGGGGACTTACTGGTCTTTAGCACCATTAGTTCCCCTAGCACTTTTCTCTAGTGCTAGTTACTGTATTTATTACCTTTTCTCCTTTTGCCTCTTGATTATTTAGTAACAGTGGAATGTTGTTAGTATCTTCTACTGCGAAGACTGATGCAAAGTATTTTTTGAACTCCTCTGCCATTTCCTGATTCCCCAATATTATTTCCCAGCCTTGTTCTCCAAAGGGCCGTTGTTTACTTTGACTTCTCACTTCCTTTTTTAAATATATTCAAAGAAGACCTTGCTGTCTACCTTGATATTACATTTCCCTCAGAGATTATTTTCGCAATGTTTATTATTTTTTGATAGTCTTTAATAGTTCTTAAAACTTTTCCAATCCTCTGGCTTACCACTGGTCTTTGCCACATGTATATTGCTTTATTCTAATCTGATGCTTTCCTTAACTTCCTTAGTTAGCCATGGTTGGTTTATCCCCTTCCAAGAATCCTTCTTCTTCGCTGGTGAATATCTTTGCAGTGGGCCTTGAACTATTTTCTTAAATGCCTGCCATTGTTCTCAACTGTCTTTGCTGCTAAACCCCCCCTTCCCAATCCACTCCAGCCAGCTCTGCCCTTATTCCTTTGTAATTACCCTTATTAAGCTCAAGTCCCCTGCTCAGCATTAATTCTATGCCCTTGCTACCCTCACTGCATATTCCAATGATGTTCAAAATTGAGTACGGAATCATTAGCTGAAGGTGGTGGGGGGATGTAGGTAGTATCAGGCAGCAGGTTTCCTTGTTCATGTTGCACCTGACACTGTGACTTCATAGGGTCTGAGGACTACCAGGGCAATTATTTCCAAACTGTATGCAACATTCCTGCAACATGTGGGAGAAGCACATGTTAGAGATTGTGATGGCAGGGTCTGGGACATTGTCTGCCGGGTATAAGGTATTTAGACAAAGAAACACTAAAATCGGACAAGACAGCTGAATGGGAAGATCAGTAACAGAGGAGCAATGGTGGTGAAGGGATGCTGTCCTAGAGGAGACATGTAGAGAATGTGATAATGGGTAGCCAGTCTGGGTAGAAAGCATCATGGATCCTTCTTCCTGTGCCCTCCTCCTACCTTGAAGTGGAAGATTGTCTCTCCACAGCCTTTCCTCCATTGTTCTGCCATGTTGCAGATGTAGAGGCACTGCCCCCAAAGCTTACATATCTATTGCATCCCTTTGTGAAGGAAAGTCACCAATCGATCACCATTCCAGTGACAATGCAGCAGCACTTCCTGCCAAGTTTAGAAATTCACCACAATGCTTGCAAAAACACTCCATAGTACTTCTGCAATAGAGGTGAGTCAAGGTTACACCTTTCCTGTAAGTTGATTGCTGGTCCTTGAAATAGCACCAGTGAAGTGGGAGGGGGTCCTTCTTATGAGGAAACAGAGCTGGCTTTCAGTGACTCTATGGCAGAAAGGCTGAGAGACACATTCCAGCATATGATTAATGCTCTTGTGGACTTCACTGTGAGTGGCCTGCAGCATGGTGCACACCATTTCCTGCCTTTACGGCTTCTATAGCCCCAGCACCAGTGCCAACACAGAGTCCAGTTTGACAGTCCTTGTGCTTTTGAGTGCCAGAGTGGTGTGTTGAAAATGTGGAAGTGCTGGGATAGATAGAGGTGGGAGGTTATTCTTAGAATAATTATGAGAACATCAAACCACGAGGGGGCAATTCCAAATTTCCATTCACTTAGATTATGACAGATTTCATTTTACCACTTTTTACCTTCAACTTAGAGCAGTACTTTCCAAAATTGTTCACATTGTAACCTCATTGTGAAACTTGAAAATTGTGACCTTTCAGTGAGACCTGTGAGAGTGGGAGCCTGTTAGACCAGGAGTATGGCTGCTTCAACTCAGTTAACTCTCAGAGCGGTCAATGCTGCCCCATAGCTCACAACCCCAGAAATTGAGCTTGTGACCCAATTTGGGATCCCAAACCCCATTTTGGGAAAACAAGACTTCGAGATAATGGGCTGAAAATTATTTTGCAACCCTGCCAAAACTGAATTTCTCTTCCTCTGTTCGCGAGACTGGGCTGTGCTTTCATCATTCCTGCCGCATCTGTAAATTTCCGCTGTAGGAAATGTTCCGTGGGGCTTAATTCCCAAAATGTTGGCCCCTTCTCCATCCCTAATTGCCCTTGAAAAGTGCTGGTGAGCTGCTTTCTTGGTCTACTGCAGTCCCTGGGGCACGGGGTTGGGGGGAGGTGTTGTGGGAGGCTGGTGTTGCTACAGCCCCAGTGCTATTAGGAGGGTCTTCCAGGATTTTGAAATGGTGTCAGATAAAGAACTGCAATCTGGCTCCAAATTAGGATTTTGTGTGGCTTGTGGGGGAATTTGGTGCTACCATTGATCTGCTGCCCTTGTCCTTCTGAGTGGTAAAGGTCGCTGGTTTGGAAGGTGCCAATGAAGGAGCTTGTAGGAGTTTGGGTAGTGCATCTTCTAGGTGGTGCACACTGCTGCCACTGTGCTGTGGTGGTGAAGAGAGTGTTTGAAAACATTACAATCAATTGGTTAACTATTGGTTTGAATGTCAAACACCGCAAGTTTCTTTAATGTGTGCACAGAAGATGGAGACAAGTGTGTGTCCTGGATGCCATCGCAAATATTTTCTAACACATAGCCACGGGTGGCATAGATAACACAGTGTGGAGCTGGATGAACACAGCAGGCCAGGCAGCATCAGAGGTGCAGGAAAGTTGACGTTTCGGGTTCGGACCCTTCTTCAAAAATAGGGAGGGGAAAGGGATCTTGAAATAAATAGAGGAGGGATGGGGCTGGGGAAGGTAAGTGGGATGGTGATAGGTGAGTGCAGGTAGGGAATAGTGGGGCTTGGTCAGTGGGATGGGAGGGGTGGATATGTGGGAGAGAAGATGGATAGGTTGTGTCAGGTAAAGAAAGTGGGGATAAGAGTTGGACATGGGATGAGGCCAGGGGTGGGGAGATTTTAAAACTGGTGAAATCCACGTTTGGGCCATCAGGCTGTAGGCTTCCAAGGCAGTATATGAGATGTTGCTCCTCCAGTTTGCAGGTGGTGTCATTGTGACACTGGAGGAGGCCCTGGATGGACATGTCACCCAGGGAGTGGGAGGGGGAGTTAAAATGGTTGGCGACCAGAAGATGTTGTCGTTTGTCGCGAACTAAGCTCAGCTGCTCTACAAAACAGTCTCCGAGTCTCCACTTGGTCTCACCAATGTAGAGGAGGCCACATCGGGAGTAGGGGATGCAGTAGACCAAGTTGACAGATGTGCAGGTGAACCCATGTATAATGTGGAAGGTTTGTGTTGTGCCTTGAATGGAGGTGAGACGGGAGGTGTAGGGGCAGGTGTAGCACTTCCTGCGGTTGCAGGGAAAGGTGCTGGGTGTGGTAGGGTTAGTGGGGGGTGTGGAGCAGACGAGGGAATCATGGAGAGAGCGGTCCCCATGAAAGACAGACGGGGTGGGGAGCGAAATATCTCTTTGGTTGTGAGGTCAGAGTGTAGGTGGTGGAAGTAGCAGAGAATGATATGTTGGATACGGAGGTTAGTGGGGAGATACGCGAGGACAAGGGGGATTCTGTCTTTATTTTTGTTGGGGTAAGGGGATGTGAGGGCAGAGGTGCGGGAAACGCAAGATATGCAGTTAAGGGCATTTTTGATCACTGGAGAGGGTAAGTTACGGTCCTTGAAATAAGAGGAGATCTGGGATGCGCAGGAGTGAAACGCCCCATCTTGGGAGCAGATGTGGCAGAGGCGGAGGAATTGGGAGTAAGGGATCGCATTCTTTCAGGAGGGTGGGTGAGAGGAGGTGTAGTCCAGGTAGGTGGGAGTCAGTGGGCTTGAAATAGATGTCGGTTTCGACAATCACCAGAGATGGAGACGGAGAGCTCCGGGGAAGTGTTGGAGATGGTCCAGGTGGATTTGAGGTTGGGGTGAAAGGTGTTAGTAAAGTTGATGAACTGTTCAAGCTCCCAGTGGGAGCACAAGGCGGCGCTAATACAGTCATCAATGTAGTGGACGAAGAAGTGGGGGATGGTGCCAATGTAGCAGCGGAAGAGGGACTGTTCCACGTGTCCTATGAAGAGGCAAGCATAGCTTGGGCCCATGCGGGTACCCATGGCCACCTCCTTTGTCTGTAGGAAGTGGGATGGTGACATGGTGTTTCAAAGTACATCGCTGCATAACGCCCTAGTTTGAAGTACTTCAAACAAATCAGTTCACTCATTTGAGGAGGAATTGGATTTAGCAGAGCTAGAACTCCATGAGGGATTTAAGCCTATTCACGTGCACGAAGACTGGACTGCAAAAAGTCACTCCTGGAAGACATGCACAACGAGTGGCCATGTCGTCTCTTCCACAAACGAGGAAGAAGTATTGAAAAAAATTAATTCTTCGTCCCCCCCGTCCCAGTGTTAGCTGTATCGTTGGGATCATTCAGAGGAATCGCGGCGTCGATCAGCAGACTATGAAAGCAGCCTCGGTTGAAGGCTATCCGCGTTATATGGGGCAGATCGATTCGCTCCTCCCTCAGATAACAAGGTGTGGAGCTGGATGAACAAAGCAGGCCAAGCAGCATCAGAGGAGTAGGAAAGCTGACAGGCCTAGACCCTTCAAGCAAGAATACACTATCTCTAGTACTTCGACCGGGACTTACCTTAATGCTCGACCTCCAGGGAGTGAGCAATGCAGTCCGTGCCGAAAGAGCCATCCATGAATTCTCACTCCGGTGGGTTTGAGGAGGAACGGAGCCCAGTCGCTTCTCAGAGGATTCGGCTGGATCCCGCTGCAGGTGGGAGCAGGTCACTGGGCGTGGAGCCAGTATTTACACCAGGGCGACAGGGCTGCTGCTGGTAAACTGACCGAATGGCTACAGAGGGGAGATCTCCCAGATCACAGTGATCTGCCGATAGGATAGATGTGCCGGGGATATAGTGGCCATTGGGTGTCCTGTTTATTACCCAGGATCTGCCGGTTTAATTGATGACCGAAAACCCAAGTCCCGGTCTCGATTTAAGTCGGAAAAGTTTAAGTGCGGTGGCAATGATCAGTTCCCAGCAGAGGGGGCTATGCACACATCACCGACTCGTCTATTCTCCCACCTTCTGGGTGGGAGTTCAGAGCCTCGTCTTTAATGTTGATCTGACGGTAACATTGCGAGACTAATCGCCCTTGATCTGCTATGGTTTAACTGTGCATTTCGTTCTTTGAAAAGTTGGAGATCAGTTTCAGAGCAAACATCATTTAAATGAATTGCGTAAAGCAACTTATCACCGGCATCTTTGAGTTTAATTTTGTTTACAGTCCCTAGGATGTAGCATCACCGAAGACCTCAGAATAAATTGTTTTCTTACCTTCTCTCGACCCAATTAACCCCCCTGCCCCCTGGAACTCTGAATTTCTTTAGGAGTGTTTGACCACTCCACTGAACGTGACCGAATTCTCATTACACCGTTTTTCAGGAGTAGGTAACTACATGGTTTATTGTGAAGGTCTTTTGGTCCTATATAGTTTTGTTTTATTTCAAAATATCCTAACAGGTGTGGAGCCTCAGTTGAAAAATCCGCCTTAATTTTAAGGCCTGCTATGAGTTACCTGTACAGAATCTTGTGGTGAAATCGGTCACTCGTCTAATTTTTCCATATCCCCTAATGTACTTCCCAGATTAATTCCACCCTCTAATGACATTCCATTTCTGGTTCCAAACTCACAAATGTTTCACTCAATATCCGTTATATATCTCTACCTCTATTTGCAAGACCTGCTCACCAACTATTTCTAACAATTCCGTCGTTTTTGTTCTTTCCTGCTTTAGTTGCGTCAGTTCCACAAGTAACACTGGTACTCTGTCTACGTTTAACAATGTGGTTAACAAATGTAATATGACCAGATAATCTGTTTTATTGAATATTGTTGAAGGATAAATATTGACCAAGTCTCTCGGGGGGCGGGGGGGGGGGTGGAATAACTCCCCTGCTCTTCGAAATGAAGTCATTTTCACATCTGCCTGTACAGGCAGATTCAGTTCAATGTCCTATCCGAAAGATGATATCTCCAACAGAGCAGTGCTCCTTTAGCCTTGATTTTATGAGCTCAAGCCCTAGAACGGTACCTGGAACCTTGTGGTTTAACGGAGCTACAGCTGTGAAAAACTCCATTGTTCACCATAGTCACATCTAGCCACACAAAAATAAATAAATGGACTGTAGAAAGTATCATAATTAAGAAACATTAAAATAAAACATCTAAGCAGTTACGAGCGGCACGGTGGCTCAGTGGTTAGCACTGCTGCCTCACAGCGCTAGGAACCTGAGTTCGGATTCTACCCTCGGGCGACTATCTGTATGGAGTTTGCATATTCTCCCCGTGTCTGTGTGGGTGTGGTCCCGTTTCCTCCCGCAGTACAAAGATGTGCAGGCTCGGTGGCTTGGCCATGCTAAATTGCCTGTAGTGTTCAGGGATGCCTAGATTAGGTGAGGTGGGTCTGGGTGGGATTCTCTGAGGTTCAGTGTGGACTTGTTGGGCCGAAGGGTGTGTTTCCACACTGTAAGGTTTCTATGATCTTTCTATATTATTCCAACTATAGCATTTTGTTTAAGCTAACCAATCTTATCTAAGAATAATGATTTCTATAGCCTGGTTTCCATGGAAATGAAACCATAAGCAATCGCCAGTAAAAGTGAATTTACAACACAAACCCATTTCTTTTCCTATTTCAAGCTCACTGTAGTTTCTAACAATCAGTGTATAAAAAAGACTAGCTAAAATTAGCATTGGTCCCTTCCAGGATGACATAGGGGATCAATAATACAAAACCAGGAATTGGAAGCAGTCTTGAATAAATCTTTTGTTTTTGTCTTGTAAGTGGAAGACACAAGGAACATCCAATGATTGGAGGAAAATTGAGAGGTAAAAAGGGATGCAGGAAGTTAAAACAATCATTGTCACTGAAGGAAATGTACTTGGAAAGATAACGGGATTAAAGGCTGGCAGGTGCTCTGAATCCAATGGTTTCCATACAAGATCTTGAAAGAGGTGTTTGCAGACTGGATGCGTCAGTTGTAACCTTCCAAAATTACCTAAATTCTGGAACGGTTACAGTGAACTGAAAAGCCACAAATTCAACACACCCATTTAAGGAATAATGTAGACTGAAAGCAAAATTCTCAGCAATTTTATCTGGGAGAGATGTAACAATGTAGTATAAAGAATTGAAGGGAACATTGAAAATTCAACATTTTAACAGCTGAGCACTAATTCCACACCATGCTTACAATCTCACATTTATCTTTTACTGAGTTCCCAAACATCCACAAGTAATAATTTCGAACTTTTTTTTTCATTTCTCAAGTGCCCAAATCTTAAATGAACATGAATACACACAATTTCATATTTCAGGGCAGCCTAGACATTTGAACTCTTGTAATAGGTTCTAAACTTAATGTGCCGGATACACATCCCCGGGATCTCAAACTCCAGAAGTTTGAATGGTTTAAAATTTTATTCATTACAGAAACATATATATAAAACATCCTCAAAGTATTAAACAGTTTTCAGTTCATTGAAGCTGATATACAAAAATTAATCACACCTTTTACAACCAACTCACTCAGACAACGACAAGATATTTTATTGCATATTAGGCAGTTTTCTCGTACGCACTCCTGTTATCTTTTACTTACCTGTATCATTTTAATTTATGCTGAGGGTCTTTCTAACTTTATTTCCTTTAAACTAGTTCATTAGCTAGACAATGTCAAACCCTCTGAGTGGCACTGGGATTCATTTCTCTGTCATACTCTGATAATTTATTCTAAATTTACATTATCTCTCGCTGCAATTTCTACCTTTTATATCTTGCTGCATATTTCTTCCCAAGAAGTTTCAATTTCCTCACTCTTGTCCAAACACCAATTCTCTAAAGTTTGTTCTTTAATGCACTAGTTTTTTTTTCCCCCAGGCTGCTCTCACTCTTATTTGCTGCAGCAGGTAGACAAGACGAGCTTTACAACTGACAGCAGTGACTTAATATGTTCTGAATCACTGTTATGTTACTTGACAAGAGAACCTCTGCATATGTGTAAGCCTTTTACAGTGGGTTCTCATCCCCAATTATCTCCTTAACAAATAACCTTTTTCGTGATAAATCCACTCATAATTCTTCCATATCATCATTGGATTTAGCTGTTGTCAATTATTCAGTAGTACTGATGCACCGGAACAGTAGGTTATTTTATCTCTTTCCAAAGATCCAAATTCTCTTTTATTCAACATCTTTACTTAAAATTTTGAATGAAACAATTTCAATTAAATCATACAGTCACACAGGTAGTCAATCTGAGAGGACTGTCAGTTTCTTGAATGTGATCTTTGACAGAGATCTTCCTGTTTGGCCAAAAGGTGACATTGTCAATTGTTGTAAAAAAAAAAACCCATCTTGTTCACTAGTGTCCATTAGGGAAGGAAATCTGCCATCCTCACCTGGTCTGGCCTACTTGTGACCCCAGACTCACAGCAATGTGATTGACCTTTAAATGCCCTCTGGGCAATTAGGGATAGACCATAAATGCTGACCTAGCCAGTGACACCCAGATCTGGTGAATGGATGAAAAGAAACGCAAAGTGGAGGTTTCATGAATCATCCCTTATGATCAACGAGCAGAGCTGAGAAGGTGCATTGAAAAATAAGACTGAAATAGATGCAACCATTTTTCAAACAGAAGAGCTCAGATTCATCTCATCCTTATCCTGATGTCCGTAGCATCATACATGCCAATCTTCGGTCCAATCAATTCAGTTCATGTGATTTCAAAATATGGCTGAAATTATTGCAGACCCTGTGGAATATGACAAAATACTAGATTAGTATTCAGTATCAATATCAAAATCAACTGTGTCCCTCACCTGGATAGCTGCAATTCTGCAAGTAAATTCTGCAATTTACCAGACAAAGAGGAAAATTGAGAAAAAAGGTATTTACTTACAAATTAGTGGCTCATCCATGCTCAGTGTGCGTCTTGCTAGGGCAACATGGTTCCTCATTAATCCATGGTCCAGCAGAGTAACATTTATGCCACAAACGGGCCATACAATGACCAACTCCGAAAAGAGACTATTTTCTCTTGTCATTCAATGACATGGCCATTACCATCATCCTGTGTTGACACTGATAAGAAATTGAACCAGACTAGCCATATAAATACATGACTAAGAGCAGGTCAGAGGCTAGGAAGTCTGCAGTGAGTGACTCACCTTCAGACTCCTCAAATCCAGTCCACAATCTACAAGGCATAAATCAGGAAACATGATGCAATACAGAGTGAAACTAACTTACACATTTTCAGCAATTAGCAGGATGAAAGCAAACTCATCAGCTTCTGGAATATGACAATCCTTACATTGTATTGACACTGTAACCAAGCCAACCCAAAAAAACTGTATACAAGTCCAATATACCAGCTAGTTTGGAACAGAGAAAGCATTAAAACCCATTTAGTCTTGATATTTGTGCTAAGGACTTCTCACTACCTATCACAAAACACAATAATTTTTGGCCAGAAAATCAAAGTCCACCTCATTTCCAAAATAGAAAGAAACATGACTGAAACTGCTAGTATGTTTGAATTCTGTGTTTCACCTGTGAAGTCAACCAATTTTCAGTTCACAAATTACTGCACCTTCCCAATAACTCAACAGCGTCTCAGCTCATGTGAAAGGGATTTCAATACACAGCCAACTGAAAGAACCTGCATCTACCCTATCAAGACTCCTCATAATCTTATAGATTCTTTCAAGTTACCTCTTTTCTTTCTGAACTCCAGCAGATACATGTCTAGCCTGTTCTAAACTCTGGTGAACACAGGCCCATCAGAGGAGCAGGAAAGTTGACATTTCGGGTCGGGACCCTTCTTCAGGAATGGGGAGGGGGAAGGGAGCTCCGAAATAAATAGAGAGAGAAGAAGTGGGGCTGGGGAAGGTAGGTGGGATGGTGATAGGTGAGTGAAGGTAGGGAATAGTGGGGATTGGTCAGGG